ATCAAAGTCAGCTGCAGAAGATGTTTCCTCTTCCCTTTCAATTGTTATAGCACTTAGGGGAAAAACAAATCTGAATCAGGAGGTCAGATGTTACAGTTTACTATAATGTATGATGTAACATCAGCCACTTATCAGTGGCTCTTTAATGAGTAGTATTTCGGTGCACACTTGCATGCCATTTCACCAATATAGTTGAGATTATTATGTAATACGGAGTTCAATATGACAAGTGCACCGATACAGTTCAGGCAGCACTTTTGACAGCACAGGTGAGCGCATCAAAATGAAAGGCCTATAAGCGAATGGTTATATTTTTATTTTTGTTTATTGACTTTCCTAGTAAATAACGAGAGCCTTTCACTCTTTAACTTGCTAATTAACATGAATTATCTGCCTCGCCACTGTTTATGTCTGTGTCGTTACCTTCAAAAGGTCGCTAGCTGTTATACATACATTCATACAAACAAGCGGCACTGTATTTTACAATTCACGTTTTCTTTATTTATTTTACTTTTAGCCAGCATATGCCTCTCAAAATGTCCACAAGGTTAGCTATAATTCACTAAGACTAGCAGTTAGCGGACACTCGCTCTCCTCGCGAGGTAAGCTACTCATTAGCTGGCTTGCTACACGCTGGAGCGGCTGCCGTGCCCGCTGCTGGTGAACTGAAACCAGCTTCATTGTTTAAAATGGAACAAACGAGCTACACTTATCATCTCATAAACCAGGCGATGCATTGAGCTCTCGGGCAGCCCGGGGGCTAACAATCGTCCTGTCCTTCCCCAACATCTGCAACGCGCTTGGAGCGAAACACATTCTCACCTCTTTTCTCAACCGCAATGCCCGAGCCGCTCCGGGACCGTCTTCGTTATATGTATCCTCGTAACGACAGCTCCGACAGAAATATTCGCATAAACTATGAACATTGGATTTTTCGACAATAAATATCAGCAAGCTTGATATAAAATTGTAATAAAGAAGCAAAATCTATGAAATACCGGGCCACCTCTAGCAGCCCGGAAGCTTTAGCTTGACGTCACACTGTTTCTCCGATAGTGATTGGTGTTTTGGAAGTGGCGCGTGCTTGGGGCAGCGGCAACGTCACAGAGGTTACTCACGGTCACTACTTGGCAGTTCTGTAATGCTGGGATTCACCGTTCTTTTCAAGAATTCGGATCATTTCGATTAGTTCGTGAACAAGGTCCGGTTCTTTAGGTTTCCAAACTGTTTTTCACCAGGTAGGCTAATCCATATTTTGATATTCTATCAGAATGTGTGTAAAAAAAATATCCATATAATGTTAACACTGCGCAATATATTTTCAGCTATTTCATACAGCGAGAAAGATAAAGAAAAAGTAATACATTATATGTAGCGTTTCTATTGTACTTACTTGTTATTACCATGTAATATTACTATCACCGAAATAGAGGACTTATCTATCTTTGATAACCAAAGAAATAAAACAGATTTTTATTTTTTAAGGTGCTACTATGTTTTTACTATGGGCATAATTGTGTATCTCTATAAACTACATTATAGTATATTAATTCAGTGCTTTATATCCCATAAAGCACTAAAAATAGATGTCTAGTGGTGTTTCTTTCACATCTACTTTCACTTCAAGATAGGAAATGTGAGACTGACCGTCTCTCTCAAGATGAAACTCAGCAGTGAAACATAGTATCAACTTCGTTTTTTACTTACAAAGTCTATGCTCTCCTTTGTAGGTGACTGCACTTAATTTTAATTTTTGAAACAACATAACTTGCACATATGTTCTCTTGTTGGTCATGTGCTTTCATGTACCATATTAAAAAATGGTGGTGGGCCACCATGGGCAAAAATATCTGGCCCATTTATTGGTTCCAGTCCAGCCCTATCTTAGGTACATTACTTCCTGACTTAAAACATTTTTATAGAAGAAAAAACATATATACAAATGATGCATAATATATATATATATATATATATATAATATATATATATATATATATATATATATATATATATATATATATATATATATATATATATATATATATATTTTTTTTTATACATAATTTGCAGTTAGTAGACATACAATCTTTAACTAAAAAAAGAAGACTCCCTTGGGAAACAGGGTGACTAAGTTGGTAGAACATGCACACCATCTACAGAGATTGTATTCTATTAGGGTTCTTCAGGGTTTGGTTCCCAGTTTTGCCAAGCAATATGGACAGTAAAACAACAAAATCAGTGGGTGTGCTTTTAATAATCATTTGTCATTAAACTATAGCTTGAGGTAAGTTTTTTCTGAAAATTAATTGTTTGGAAGACTTTAGAAATTCACTTGTAGTCATTTTAACAGTTTGTTAATGTTCCAATCCCCTTTTTCCATGCAAACATTTTTTCACACACAAGAGGGAGCCAGATTTTATACTTCATATGATTCATCATGCCATTTGTTTCAATTTGGAATCGGAAAATGACCATGTCCATACATTTTACAGACAGAACATCTTCTTTGTCATGTTTAGGGCGTTGAGTGAAGTTGCAAGATGAGCTTCGTTTGACACTTTTAACCTTAAACATTAAGATCACGTCACTTGACTCCGGAGGTTTTGCATGCTTTTTAGACCACATGTCTTTTCAGGGACATTTTGACAACTGCACACTCATTCTACTCCACATCCCCTCATCTGCAAAATACACACCCCATAGACACACACACTCAAACACACACGTGTGTGATCACATGACGAGTCAAAGTGCGTACAGAGAGGTGATAATCGCTTTCCTCGGGCGATGTCTTTGAGGTTCTGATGAGTCGCACACCAACAGAGGGCAGATGTTACAAGTATAGGGAAGACTTTCATCTCCCCTGTGAAATATGTGTGTCCAATCTGATAATGACACATCGACACACTTTGCACACACTTAAGCCAAGTTGCAGGAAGATGTGTATCCCACAACTGTCTCCGTTCGATTCTTGACATTTGTGCACAGAAAATAATGGTCGGTAACCTGGGACTCACCCTGAGCCATTCATTTTTTAATTTTTTAATTGTTCTGCCTAATAAATTATTTAAATCATTGAAAGTAGAAAGTTTGCGATTCATTCTGCTCCTTCTTGTCATTTATTGTATAAAGGGTAAACAAATATGTTTTGAACCCCTGACTGAAGCCACTTAATGTCCAATTGGACTTACAGAGAGAGAGAAAAAAGGAGTGCCAGGGGGGGTTCTGTGCGGATTAGGGAACAAAAGGATCCTTCTCTGTCATCAAAGAGGATCTACTCTCCACTCATCCCCTTTTCTGTGGAGACAGCTTTTTATTTTTTGGGAGCTGAAGTGATGGCTGCAGGGAGGAGGAAGGGCGGGGAGGTACCAGGAGAGTTTGATGGTAGGGGATGCAGATTTCAAAGTAATCTTTAACTTTAAGCCCTACAGTCCCCATGACATGAGCCCCTTTGCCCCAGACACAGTGTTCCCTATATTACTCCAAGTAGAAGTCTGCCACCCCTCCTTTCCTTCTTTCTTTTTTTCCTCTCAACCTTTTGTCATGGTGCCATTTAAGCAGCATTACTCACTGACCAAGAGAAGGAATTCTTTTGAGGGACCTAAAAGGGATGGATTTTAAGTACGGAGACCACTGTCTCCACTTAGAACAACACTGGGTGGATATAAATGCCTACTGTGTGACTCGGAATCAGCACAATGGAGACATCAGCTTGATCATAAGTCTTTGAGCCCAGTCAGTTTGCATTGTTACTTTTGTACACATTTTTAGGAAATGTAAAATTATGTGACAAAAACACTAAATTAGTAATTAACTGCCAATGAATAACCTTAAACAAACTTAAACGTTATGAGACGATTTAGAACCCTGCAGGAGGGCATCTGCACTTCCATTGTTTTGTCACATTACAAAACTATGTATTTAGCTCTCCTACCTCATAGTTACTTCTTTTTCTTTGAATGATTCATGTCCCCTCAGGGTTACTGATCTGGGATCCCCTGCTGACCTGGGCCACCATAGGGAGTCACTGTGATCACACAGAGGTCGTAAACAGGTTTCAGTCCCTGGTATAGGTGATTGAAGTAATAGTGCCTTAGCAAATAATACATCAGTTTGATTAATAAAACACAAACAGGTTGTTATAGAACGTATGGATATTCCCACATAAGATCTCAACATTGATTTCAAATAATTTTTGAAGTCATTTGAGGTTATGATTCGGTATGTAAGTTTTCAGCTCAATCTAAACTTTTCTAATTAGTCTTTTAATCTATTGGAAGCATGGATTGTGTGTTTTTTTTTTTTTTTTTTTTTTTGCTGCAATGCAAGACTTTTTTCTTTAAAATAAGATGTGTTTTTATATAAATCTTATCTAATTAAATAAGGCTCCTGTCATTTCACCTCTGTGCTTTTTGACCTGTTTAATTTTACTATTTTTCTTTTCAAGTGCTCAGTTGTTCACTCTTTCACTGTTTGGCAGCTTTGATAACGTATTACACAACTTTTTTTTAGGTACAAAATGGAGCTCTCTTTTGAAGAATGTCCAGTTCCTGATATAACTTAAGTTACACCCAACAGTGCAACTTTTTGGGCTGCCTCGTCAATGACGTTTTACACAAACTATGTTAAATCGTTGGAATAAAATGTCACAGTTTTCAGCAAGAGAGTACAGTAAGAACTCAGTCAAATAAAATACTTTGTGGAGTGTTGGACCTTTGAAGACTTTTTTTTTATCTCAAAAGTTTATGAAATACATAACTACAATAAAAAAACTAAGTGGATACCTCTTGGGTACAACAAACAATACAAGTAGAATGAAACTGCACTGCGTAGGTATGTAAAGATACCAGAGCCAAATAATTCCATTTGCCATCGGTAGTATCAGTTCTTCTGACATGAACGTCGCCTTGGACAGGAACTGCCGTCTGCACACGAGAATGCAAAGAGAGATTGAAATTTGTAACTTTTCTTAGCAAACGTTTCTCAGTAGACTCAAAGGAAACTGTGATCACCATTGTTTATTTCAGTCTCGATTTGACCTTTCTGTTTAGTACATAGCCTATGCAAATTTTTTTACATGTAGTAAAAATTGGCTATGTGGCGCTCCTCACCACAGTGAAGGAAAATCAAACAAATGAGCAATTCTCGACACAATTAGTCCATTTTCATAAAGCACACAGTCATTTATTGACAATCTCAAAATTCACCAAGAAGGCGCGACAAGCCCTTGAATTTCACGCCTTTAAATATCCCATTTCAAAAGTCCACTTCAAACTCCGAGGATCACATTACGTTAGAGGTGAGGGAACTGAGGGCGCTCGCTTCTGTTTCTGCTCCATACTTCAGCATGCACATCAACCAAGTCAATATAATAGAGATCAGAGCCAGGACGCTGGCGACGAACAGACAAACGGGGCCGACCGGCGACGCTACGTGGTTGAAATTGTGCACGAAAATGAGGCCCAGAAATAAAAGCAGCACCATGGAGAGGAAGGAGAAGATGGCGCACACGCAGCTCGTGGTAAAGGCGACGTCCTTGCAGGTCTCACAGCGTTCCTCTGCGGCTGAAGACCCGGACGGACCTGTCTGTTGCTCTTCCGCGTTTGAGGAGCTCTGACGCTGATGCTCTCCAAGCGGAAGAGCCTCGCACAGCGCCCTGTTGTTCGGGAGGTTTTCAACCTGATACTCCCGAACCGGAGTCCGATGGCGACACACGGGACAGCCGACCCTCCATCCTCGACCCTCCCGCGAGTGCAGAGTTTCGAGGCACTCCAGGCAGAAGGTGTGGGAGCAGCTCAACTCTTTGGGAACGCGACGGTCCAAGTCGTAGTGGTTGTAGCAGATTTTGCACTCGTATTCTTCTTGTTCGTTAGACTGAGCAAAAGCAGAGCCGCTTTGTCCGTGGACGTCGTCCGCCATGTTCTCCCATGTTGCACAGCTTCACTTGACCACACAGGTTAATAACAGGGAGGCTTAAATCTAACCGTGAAACAACTACCGGAATAGACAAAAATAAAAAGAGAGAGAGAGAGAACAAAGAGCTAAACAACAGAGGTGTTCAGATTGATTTTCTGATCCGTTGTCATCTGGTTGGTGTCACAACGAGCGTCATGTGATCTTCGCGCCCTATTAAACCGTGTAATTAAAATTGGGCACCTGCTCCAACAGTCAGAACCACTGTCAGATGTGACGCTTTGGGTTTCAGCACCACAGTCGTCGGACAGCGCCCAGCGGCGGTGACATCTTCACCAGCGACCACAACGACTTTCAACAGCATTCACGCTTCTCGTGTTTTAACAACAAAAGTTGAAAGAATGTGTGTTCCAGATCAAAGTAGCACGTTATTGTGAAGAGAAAGTGAAACGTTACACGTTTCCATTTCTTATTAGATAATCCTGATGACCCTTGGTAAACTCGAGCAAAACCAACTGCCTGAAGAACTGTAGCAGATGCAATCCACTTGTGTGTAATTTCATGTCTACATAAATGTAGTTTTTTTTTTTGAAAAGCCCTTCTTTGAGAGCATAATTGAACAAACTGCATCATGAAATGGAGTAAAAACGAAAGGAGTATGGTGTAAATGCAAACCGAGGCATGCCCATACACTGACAGGACAGACAAGGAGAGTCTTGATAGACTCCACTTATCTACCTGTATAATTGCTTGTTGTGTACTGTAAAAAAGAAAAAAAACATAAATAAATGAAAAACATTCAATATGCTGGTCATGTGAGACCAAAACCTGAAGTTGAAGGAGAACCACATTGATGACGGGATCATGAGATGGAAATTATTTACTAAGACAGAAACAGTTATTCACCTTCCAGCAGGACTTTGACTCTTAAGCATAAAGCCAGCTACTAGCTCACAGCAAAGGCTGTTTATCATGCTCTGACATTATCATGTCAGTCTGTTATCATGCTCTGACATGATAACAGACATTATCATGTCAGAGCATGATAATCCTTTAAAATCCCACTTCAAACAAACTTTCTGTGTAATGTTTGTAAAAGCTTTTAACTAAGATATTATGGTTTCTACTTTTTCCCTGTTTCCTTACACCCTGTTCCAAATTATTATGCAAATTGGATCTAAGTGTCATAAAGATTAAAGCTTTTGTTGTGCTATTAAATTTATAGATGGTATTGTGTGTCATGGCCCTTTGAATCACTATAATTAATTTCAGAGAGCTGGTTGATTAGTTGGTCTGGTGGCTCAATTAAAGGAAATCTACTTCAGAAGGATGTTCCACATTATTAAGCAGGCCACAGGTTTCAAGCAATATGGGAAAGAGAGGATCACTGCTGATGAAAATCATCAGATAGTGTAGTGCTGTATGACAAGGTATGAAAACATCAAATATTTAACGAAAACTGAAACGTTATCGTACTCTGAAGAGATTTGTGGCTGATTCAGAACAAAGATGGGTTTGTGCAGATAAAGGCATAATGAGGAAGGTTTCTGTTCGACAAATTCATGGGATTAAGAGAGAAGCTGTTAAAATGCCCTTACAAAGCAGCAAACAGTTATTTAAAGCTGCTGGTGCCTCAAACCTCCAGGTGGAGGATCCTCCAGAGGCTTGCAGTGCATGAACTGACTATTGGGCCCCTAACCAGAGCTCACAAGCAGAAATGGTCACACTGGGTCCAGCCGTACATGAAGATTCATTTTCAAACTTGTTCACTGATGACTGCTGTGCAACCCTGGATGGTCCAGATGGATGGCTGTGATGTCAGCAAGGAGGTGGTGGAGTCATTTTCTGGCCTGAAATCATGGGGAGAGAATCATTGGTCGGCCCCTTCAGAGTCCATGAAGGACTCAGCAAAGTAAATGGACTTTCTGACTGATCACTTCTTTCATGGTTCAAAAAGAAGAGCTGTACCTTCAGGAGCAAAATCATCTTCATGCATGACAATGCACCATCTCATGCTGCAAGGAATACCACTGGATCACTGGCTGCTTTGGGCATAAAAGTGGAGAAACTCATGGTGAGGTCACCATCCTTCTCTGACCTCAACCCCACTGAGAAACTGTGGAGTTTCCTCAAGCAAAAGATCTGAGGATGGAACACAGTTCATATCAAGACAGCAGCTCTGAGAAGGTATTCTGACTTCCTGCAAAGAAATTCAAGCAGAAACTATCTACAAACTCATAAGTTCAATGGATGCAAGAATTATGCAGGTGATGTCAAAGAAAGGGTCCTAGGTTAACATGTAACTGGGTCTGCAAAAAATGTTTTGGATTTAAATAGCTTTTGATTTTAGGACATGTGACCACTTCATGCTGCACATTCAAAGAATGACCGTTTGCAGTTCTTTATAATCTATAACATGTTTAGAAAATCTGTTGTGCATAATAATTTGGATCAGAGTATTTTGAGTTTTTCATTTTTGAAAAATAAAAACTGTTCTCATGGGAAGCTTTGTTCAGTAAAATTTGATTTATACTGTAACAGTTCATTACTTGAAAATTATACTGACCATTATTTGAACTGACCATTTAAGAAAATATGAGAAAATATCACTTGCATAATTTGGAACACAGTGTAGTCTTCATTATGTTCTTTATTTCTTGATGTTCTCTTACAAACCTTTGAGACCTTCACAGAACAATTGTATTTATACCAAATTTAAATTATGCACATGTGTGTATGCATACCATACACACATAATAATTAAAAACATTATTTTAAACTTCATGGGTTTGTGTTGGGCTGCAACATAACATGCCAACAAAATGAAGGAGATAAAGTTCAGGAGTGCATTTTTCTGCATAGCATTTCACAAGCCCCCTCCTTCCTACACAGAGTATGTAATGGAAAAATATCTACAAGCTTTAAAAATAAAAGACAACCATGAGAAAGAGAATCTTGCAATGCAGAGAGTTTGAAATATAATTCTAGAAATAAATTCCCAGCGCAGATTCCATTTCAACCAAATTACACCGCTTACATTCAAGTAATTTACTGAATTACTTCCAGGTAAGATTTTTTCTTTCTTTCTAGGTTTAGGGTAGATTACTTTTTAATAATGTTATATTGAATTAGTCGATGTGTGCTGTGAGTATTTGTTCCACTTTTCATCTTTACAAATTCAGATTGATTGTATAAAAAAGTAATTAGTACAACATTTGAAATAAATGAAAATAAGATGATATAAAAGCTGCAATAAAAGTTAAGAAGTATGACAGATTTTTTTTTTAGATCGGAATAAAGGAAAAAGTTCTGAACAAAACACATCATTATGCATGAAACCTTCTAACGATAGATAGATAGATAGATAGATAGATAGATAGATAGATAGATAGATAGATAGATAGATAGATAGATAGATAGATAGATAGATAGATAGATAGATAGATAGATAGATAGATAGATAGATAGATAGATAGATAGATAGATAGATAGATAGAAAGTGCCCTCTTCTGGCCGAATTTAAATGTGCATGTAAAGTGAAGAATTCTGTATTTCCATTGTGAGGGATTGGGGGATTTTATGCTTTATCTAAAACTGACCAGAAATTAGGAGCTGTTGATTTTTTTTCATGGAAAGGAATTAATGATGTTTGAACAAAATTGGTACGACACAAGATGTGGCAGTCATAAGGACATGTTTAAAGTCAATTGTGTACTTAGTTTATTAAATTTATTAAATTTATCTATTAAAACGTAAATAAGTTTTGCATGGCCATGTCAGCTCTCTATGGTCAGATCTTTTGCCCTTAATGTTATCCTCATGAGAGCAGCTTTACAGGAACAGGTGAAAATATAAGGTTCTTCTGAGCTCTGCGACACAGATATCCAACAGTTAATGTAACTTTTTAATTTATACATGCTACATTATTTTCTGTGAAATGAAATGCTGTATATAATTTAAAGTTGTTATGTCAGATAAAATTGGAAATATGTGTAAAAATGAATAAATTCAGATTTTAACACTATAAATGTTCCAAGATTTTTAAGCATCTGTAAACTTCACACAAATACTGTAAATAGTTCATTTCACTCAGATTTCCCTTTATGGAAAGTTCATAGTGTCTAAAATAGCACTTTTTTATATTTGCAATTTGTAAAGATTTATGGGATTTTGTTATTTCTATTTTAAGTCCAAATTGATACAGCATTCTCCAGTTTTCTGTAGATCTTTTTGATAGTTCCGCATGTATCTGATAAGCACGGTGTTCTGTTGCTACACACTTTATCACTAGGCAAAATAATAAGCCTCATAAGTCACTAAATTTGTCTTGGGTCATTAATACAAATGCACCAAGTTTGCTTTTTTTTGTGTGAAGAGGCAGAAAACCCACTTCTCTGCTATCACAACATCCAGTAATGTGACTGAAATAGACAGAAGACAAAGGCGTGGAGTAATTCCAGTTAGATAAGAATCTCACAGGAGGTGTGACTGCATGTTCGTCATGAGACCATGAACTATTAGCTCGACGGTTTTCAGTCGGCGTTTGCTGGACTGTTAATTTAAGCCTGCATGCCCTTTGGCTGTTGCTTCAACAAATGCTCTGATTATCTGTTTTGGCTCACCTGGGTTCACCTTCTCAAGCCTTTGTCATGATAACTCCATTAAGTCTGAACTCCCACTGATAGGTTTTGGCACCAGTTATATTTGATAAGATCAAACACATAAAAAAAAAAAAACAGCAATTCTTTTGATAGTGCCTTGTAAGTGGAACCTTAGTATGAGAACGGATTTCCCTATTTCAAACCTGTGACCTTCCTGAGATGTTTATCTTCATTGATGACTTGATCCTTCAGCTAATGTATATTTTTCTGCCATTATACTCTCTTACAAAGTGGAGTACAATTAGGCTGTTTCTGAGCAGCTGTACTTTAAAACATGTATGTGGACAAAATTAAATTAGCTGCCCTTTTTTAAATTTATGTCATTCCTGAACTCCATTTTAATCATCACTACTCAGTCATTTAAATACAATCTTCAGCAAAATTTATTTATTTTTAGAAATAGAAATGAATTACAAACCTTTTATTTTCCGTGCTGTAAAATCTTAGGCTAAATTAGCATAACCTTTAAATTTAAAATGTGTGGTTCATAATTCTTGCATATCATACTGCAATTTGTTTCTTGA